CACCGCGATGAGAAGGCAACATTTTTTGTAGAAACAAAAACGTCATAAGCCAATCAAGAAAATTTTGTGCACACTCGGGTTGAAACTCGAACACCCGGGTATATTGAGCTGCAAAGCACCCGAACCCAATCAAGTATGTATGAAAAGCAATCGGGTGTTGTGGCCAACATGTTCGTCTTGAGCTCAGTCGATAACGAACAATACTTCTGCTCGTATACAGAGAACGATGCAAAACGGGTTTTGTTAGATGATCGAGTATACACGAAAATCATGCACCCGCTGCAGATGTCTGGTAGGGATGCAAGGCAAAAAAATACATCGATGCTTTTTTCGATTTCATGCATCAAATTATAGCATCGATGCATATCGACGTATCGCATAACAACATCTATATTTTCGTGAAATGAAATTAATGAAAATATCAACAGTTTCTTTCAATTAAAAATATACAACAAGAAAATGAAACAATCGTAACTTCGATAAGTGTTTAACAGCTAGTTTCACCAGATTCATTTAATTGAAAATTACTTTGATTTTCGAATTTTTGGTTTCACCAATCCATTTTAATTTGTTTTCAATTTTGATTTAAGTGGCCTATGCTCTTCACATAAACAACAAGTAATTTTTAAGCAACAAAACAAAACCGACTTCAATTCTCATTAAAAAAATATATATATATATATATATATTTCATTATCCAATGATCGGATCTAAACCAGATTAGTATGGGACCACCTCTGAGACACTGCCTTTCCGTTGCGTTATCGAAATCGGTTGACGTGGTCCAAAGTTATGCGGTAGCATACATAAAAAAAAAATAATAAAAAAAAATAGTTTTTTGTTATTTTATGGCCTTACAACAATTATATTCAACAAATTTTTATTAAGTTTGAGGCCGTTTTTAATGAAAAACCTATTGTGGCAGCGCAATAATAATTTGAAAAAAGGGTAGAAAAGGTAGTCTTCTTTCTGTAGGATTCGAACCGACAGTCCCACTGACTCAGCTATTTGCCTACGCACTGTGCTAAGTTCGCCTTGTGAATTCTTGTTACTTTTCCATTGTTTTACTTGATCAAGTGTGAATTGCAGCGGAATAGCTGCGCTTGATTGTAGTTGGCTTAACAAGTGAAACAGTGGAAAAAGC